GGGCCGACGCAAGCGGAGCCCCGCGGGGTGGCCCGTGTCCTGGTGCATGCTGTGGGTCTCTGGGCATTGCTGGGGTAGGGGCCAGGTTTACAGCAAGGACAGGATCGTGCTGATTTTACCCACACGTCACTTAGAGTTTAAGGGCCGACAAGTTTAAGGGACGACAGGAGATGTGCGGTTCCTGTAGCTGGTAATCCTGCAGGCAGGAGCTGACTCGATTCTCTGCTCTCTTTAGCTGGAAAGTGGCTTCATCTCCAATGAGGAGAGTAAACAGAAGCTGGTTCCCATCATGACCATCCTGCTGGAGGAGCTGAATGCCAAAGGAAAGTGCACCCTGCCCATTGGTACGGCAGCCTCCTCAGCCCAGCCGCAGCCGGGCAGGGTGGTGCTAGAGGGGAACTGGGCCATCGCCTGCCCAGGTCAGCTCTGCCTGCGCTGCTCGTATCAGCTCCCTGTCTGTCTGTCTGTCTGGAGCTGAGGGGCTTGAAGGGCCAGGAGTGATGGAATTATGGGCCACAAACACCTTCCTTCCTGTAGTGTGGTGGTGTCCTGGGGCTGATGGTCATGAACTCCCAAAGAAGTAGATGTTTCTGTTAAGACTGAGAGCTCCCCTTTCCCTGGGCAGATGAGTCGAACACTATTCACCTGAAGGTGATTGAGCAACGCCCGGACCCCCCCATTGTACAGGAGTACGATGTCCCCGTCTTCACCCAAGACAAGGACGACTTTTTCAACTCCCAGTGGGATCTCACAACGCAGCAGGTCTGTGTGCTTGACCAGGGGCAGCACTCTTTAAACACGATCTATGTCCAGCCTGCCTGGGGACAGAGGGGAGTTGGGCTGTCCAGGAAATCTCTGTGTTAATGAGCACACTTTGGTACTCCTCTTGTCTTTATGCTCGGGCCTGCAAGCAAATCCTTCACCCAGCATGAGGATAAAATGCTGCTGGGGATGGAGCCTGCCCATCCCAGCATGCTCCTAGACACAAGGGAGTTTCTTGGGCTTCAGAGTGATGCCTTGGGCCTCTCTGCTCTCTCCCCTCTTAGCTCTTGTTTCCTGCCATCCTAGATCCTGCCCTACATCGATGGCTTTCGGCACGTCCAGAAGATTTCTGCAGAAGCTGACGTGGAGCTGAACTTGGTGCGCATTGCCGTGCAAAACCTGCTGTGAGTGCGTGGAAGGGGACCTGGCCAGCCCACAGGAGGGGAGGTGGTGGGTACTGGCAGAAGTGGTCTCTCATGTTTGTTTCCCTGTCCATCTGCAGGTACTACGGAGTTGTAACACTCGTCTCCATTCTCCAGGTGAGTCAGGTCACAGAACATGGGGCCGTGAGTGGGATTCGGGCAGCGGCTGCACCTTCGGGGTGGCTGTGAATGGGGGGACAACAGGGCTCAGAGCCAGGCAGATCTGTTTCTCAGAGCCAGGGCTGAGCAGAGTTTTCCCTTCCCCTCCAGTACTCCAACGTCTACTGCACCACACCAAAGGTCCAGGACCTGGTGGATGACAAGTGTCTCCAGGAAGAATGTCTGTCCTATGTCACCAAACAAGGTACAGTGATCCCGTTCCCCTGGGCTGCTGGCAGAGGCAGTGGCAGAGGGCAGCTGACTGGTGACTTGTCCCCACAGGGCACAAGCGAGCCAGCCTCAGGGACGTCTTCCAGCTGTACTGTGGGCTGAGCCCTGGCACAACAGTGCGAGACCTCATCTCCCGCTACACCCTGCAGCTCCAGAGGGTGGACGAGAGGTCAGAGCCGGGACCCTTCTGCTCGATCCCTGAGGGTAGCGGTGACAACGGGGGGGTGGCAGGGCCAGTGTGGGGGAACAAGCAGGGAGTACCCAACCACTGCGTCTGTAGGTGAGGAAATACGAGGCGGTGGTGTGACATGGTGGAACCAGAAGGGAACGGGGAGAGCTGGGGCCTTTTGCACCTCAGCATTGTGGTCCCAGTTCCTTCCCTCCTTGTCCCCAGGAGGCTTATCCAGTTTGGTTTGATGAAGGGCCTCATCCGGCGGCTCCAGAAATACCCCGTCAAGGTTGCCCGGGATGAG